AGAAAGAAGGCAAGTAAGACATAGTCCAGAATCTTTATTTTATAACCCAGATAGATATTTTGCTTATCACATTCTGTAATAAAAAGAACACATATTTTGTAAATCAACAAGACCTAAATTGGCAACTCAGTTCTGCTACTTAGTATATTCATCTCTTAACAATGTCTTTGAACCTGAAATTTTTCATAAGATCTAGTATTAATATCCAATTTATCTGGAACAAAACCTGACATGAATGAATGTTTTTGAGTTGTTTATAGGGTTGGTGGATGTACATGCCCTAGAGCACCTTACCCAGGACTTGGCACATTAATAAATAGTAGCTATGATTACTGTTTTTGTTTGGAGAGTGTTTCTTGTTAACTCATTGTGTCAGAGACACTAATAAGCACTGGAGTCAAAACAGACCTAGGTTTGCATTGTGGTTCTCCCATCCTCTATCTTGCTAATCTGTTTATTAACCTATCTGCATTTGAATTTCCTCAGCTGTATAAAAAGGCAACCAAGTCTGTCTGCAGGAATGTTCTGAATACTAAGAATGATCTGCTTTAAAGTATGTAGCACAGACCTGGTACTCCATAAGCAATAGGTATTTATATATGTCTTGAGAGGTTTCTTGTATCGATACTACCCTGCTATTCGTTGAATAGCTGTTCAAAACTCCTTTTTATGTACAACAGGCAAGAAAGCTTTTCTCTGTTATGTTTCACTGCCTTTCAGAGAACACAATTGATATTAGGAGAAGCATTCTTGTAAATAGTATTTGAATAGCAACTTATAGCTTTAAAAATTCCTTTGCAACTGGGGAACACAGCCCAAAATATGCTACAGATCAGCCCTTGGTGACTGTATGATTATTATCTTTGCATTCCATTCTACCACCAAGAAGTTTAATAATTAATACTGATACACTGCTATTCAAAGCTCAGATACATTGTTGTCATACTTTTATACTTTTAGAAATATTTGACATCTGAACATTACTAGATGAAATTGAAGAATTAATCATAAACTGCCCATATCAGCAGTATATCAGACATGGAGTCCTCCTCTAGGGTGGGTCTAATAGAAGACACACTTGAAGTGGCTTTTTAATTTCTCTGATTCCTAAAATACAGCTTAAAATGTTATCTATACTATCCATTCTCATCTAGGCTAGAATGTAGTTAAAAAATAAATCTAATAGCTGGTACCTGAAACTTAAACAAAAGAACATAAACAAAAGAAAATGAAGAAACATGAGTAACTTAAAAATTTCATACAAAGGCATTCTGTCATATGCTGAGATTAATGACTTTTTATCTACACTCAGTAGGAAAGCAATTAAGTGTTAAAAAACAGGAAGCACCTCACTGTTTTATAAGGCAGAGCTGTTTTTCTATAATAATAACTGAAGCCTGTGCTTGATAATTTACTTCAATATTCTCTCCAATATCGACAAGGTCAAAGCCAAACATCAACCACAACTGCAAGTGTCATTCATCTTTTGGAAAAAGCACTGAAGAGTTTGCAAGAAGCATCAGGCCAAATCTCACTGAGTCTTTTAGGGTGGGTCAAAGACTCAGGAGGATACACATGGAACACTTAACCTCTCAATATTCCAAATGAGTAGCCAAACAACCATTCTAACAAGTTACATGGTTTTATATGCAACGTTCTACTCAATGTCCAGTCCTTCGTGACTTTGGCCATAAAGATAGCTATACTTTCAATGATGAAATGCTATATTAGAAGAGAATTTCCACTTGACAAGTGGGAATTGAACAGCATTTAGTCAGCATTGGCAGCAGGCCATTCACCTTAGATACGTCTGTCCCTATAACCCCTGCACGGGTATGGTATTTTTGTATCTTTAGTCTTTGCTTCCTTACCTTGCACCCATCTCCTTGCTATTACCTTTCAGGGATTTAAAGCTATTCATTCAGTGACTTATCAAGTGCTCTAGTATTTATGTTAACAGACTTATAGTGGTGGTTTATGTTTAGAGCTTCTACTCCTGTTTCAAAGCCATTTCCCCTTCTTCCTCATAGTAATGTAATGTGAGAGAAGAAAGTTGAGGTACAGGTGATATGAGGTGCCTGAGATGCCATGAGGTTAGTGTCAAGACAGAGAACTTGCCTCATGACTCAATCTAGGCTCATTTTGTTCCATGACCATCATATCACCTTCTCTATCTTTAGATGTGGCTGTGCTCCTCACCAATAACCCACCCCTCTGATTCCTCTGATACTGGGGCTTGAAATTGGTGCCTTACTTCCTCTTCTTCCTCCTCCTCCTCCTCATCATCATTATTGGTTGTAGGCTTGAACTCTGGGTCTGGGCACTGTCCTCAGCTTTTCAGCTCAAGGCAAGCACTCTACCACTTGAGCCACAGTGTCACTTCCTATTTTCTGGTGCTTTATTGGAGATAAGAGTCTCATGAACTTTCCTGCCTAGGCTAGCTTTGAACAGTAATCCTCAGATTTCCTGAGTAGCTAGGATTACAGGTATGAGCCACTGGCACCCAGCTGGGCCTTCACATTCTTGCTCAGATTTTGTTGTTGTTGTTGTTTTGTTCATGGCTAGCACTCTACCACTTCAGGCTTTCCTCTAGTTTTGGGATTTTGTGGTTAATTCCATGGATTTGTCTGTCCAAGCTAGCTCTGAACCTCAATCTTCAGATCTAAGCTCCCCGAATAGCTAGGATTGTAGACACGAGCCATAGGTGTCTGGCTGTGATTTTCAAATAGGTTGAACTCTCTGAGTTTTAACTTTTGTGTAGTAAGTGACAATGACAGTTGTTACTTCATAGGATTCTTTTGAGGAATAAATGAAACTATGCACCTATAATATGAAACCTTCAGCAAGATTAACTGTTCAGAAATTTCAAGCTTTCTAGTCCTAAAGTGGGTGATAGCTCACCTGAAGCTTGTTCTGGCAGGTTCAATGAGGGTCTCTGAAGTGATTCTGGAATTCAATGGTGTATTGATTGGGCACAGAATACTTAATGCATCAGTATGGAATTTAATTTAATGGAGGTTTATCAATTATATATTATGCTCCAGCCTGGTTCTAAGTACGTCAGACATACCAGGAGCCACCAAGGAATGTCACAAGCGGCAAGAACAAAACTTGTGGATGACTTCTTAGACAATACAGAGATTCCAAGACAGCACAGTCTGCTACATTGCACAGAGCTCTTTGTACAAGTTCCAAAATAACTCCAGAGATAATAAAGCAACTTTAAAACTACTTCATATAAATTTTATGGTTTACCCTTCAATGATTTATTCCATCAAATCCTAAAGGTGATTTGTATAGCTAAAGATTCTGTATCCAGCCTATATCACTACCAGGAGTAAGAAAGGAAGGATGGAGGTCTCATCTCACAGTGAGCAAAGAAAGGAGAGGTGAAAAGGTGTGGTGTTCTATGGTATTTCCATTATTTGTATTACCTAATTTTTAAAATAATGTAGGACATAAATAGCTGTTGACATTTTCTCTCTCCTCTCGTAGTGCTTCAGAGCAAAAACACTTAAGGTGACTTTTTGCCTCTGAGTCAAACAGAGAAAAAAACAGTAGTTAGTATGACTCTATCCCATTTTGATTAATCCATTGATAAAAGGTATTTACCATTACACAGAACTAGTTCACCTCCAAAATGTTTATTTAAAGACCTAAACATAGTGAAATCTCAGCCTAGCTTTGTTTATATGAATGGAGGAAATATGGTAGGTCCAAGAGATCTCAAATAGTGTAATTCTAACATCAAAGTTCAGCAAAATAAAAATACCAGGAAACAGGTACTCAAAAGAGGTGGGGTGGAGGGAAGAGGAAAAAGGTAGAAGAATGAAGAGGTGAAGAGGTAGGAAATGCAAACAAGAATCTAATGTATATATCCTACAAAATAAAGAAGAGCAAGGGAACAGTTGGGTAGGGGAAGGATGAGTGAAAATGTTGAAATGGGTAACACTGATAAAGATATATTGTATTTACAAATTGCTTTGTTAAATGGCATTTCTGTTGTCCAGGAAAGATAATAATTTAAAATATGAACAGAGGAGTAAAACTAGTCACTTGGTACCGATGTGAGATGCAATGCTGAGAATGAGACAGCCTGGGGCTGAGGGTCAGAAGCTCTTGTTCTTTGATGCTACCCTCTTTAGGGTTTAGTGTTTTTAGCCAGTGACCTCACCTCCAGGGAGCCACAGTGATTCTGTTTGAGAATAGCGACTATGCCATCAATTTTCCAAGAAATGCTGAGCAAATTGAGATGGAATATTATTTGTACTAATTTTGGAGTGTTTAATATGTATTTTTAGGCCTTTTATATATTATCTCAGTTATCACAAGCATGCTATAGACAGTAGCTGTTATGGTTTGCATAGGAAATGTGTCTCAAGGGCTCATGTGGTGAAGGCTTGATTCTCAGCTGGGGTATTCAGTCTTGGAGGCTTTGATTATGGAGGTGTTGACTTAATCCATGGGTAAATCTGTTATGACTCCATTGTTAGGAGGTACTAGATGTTAAGAGGTGGAACCTGGATGAGGAACGTAGGTCTCTGAGAGCATGTATTTTGTGTGTGTGTTTTCTGGGGGGTGAGAGGGGGAAGGTATCTCTAGCCACTTCTTGTTACTTTCTCTAATTCCTGGCTGCCATGAAGTAAGTAGATTTCCTCCATCACGTAACTCTATCATGATATTCTCCTTATTATAAGACCAGAAATCCTGAGGCATGTGATCATGAGCTAAAACCTTGGAAACTATGTGTCAAAATAAATCTGTCCTCCCTTTAAGTTGTTCCTCACACCTATCTGTCACTGAGATGGGAAGTCTGAAACACACTTTTTTTTATTTTTACTACTATCCTCATTGTGCACAGGAGAAAATTAAGACTGCAAGTTTTTCCTATAAACACTTTCAGCTAGCAATTGGCTGAGTGGAAACTGAAGCTCAGGCAGCCTAGGACAGGAAGTTGGACATGATTTGAAAGCGCATGAAGAAGTCTTTTATTCACATACCTACATTCAGACACTTCTCAATTATTCCAACGACGATTATCTGGCTTGTGGATATTCCATGGCCTCTTCTCACCTGGTCATTTTCTTCTTTTGTTTTCTCCCTCGTTTATGAGTCCCTAAGGCAAAGTGATTTTAAAGTCAGTTTTTGTTCCCTACTCTTTTTCTTAGTATCTGATTATTATTATTTTTTTCCAGTACTGGGGTTTGAATTCAGGGCCTCATGCTTGCTAAGCAGGCACTCTACCACTTGAACTATGCCTCCAGCCCCTAAACAATTGTGGAAAGAAACATATTGTAAGTGATAAAAACTTTTTTCCCCATGGTATTTCTATTTCCTCTGTTAAATAGTTTTCTGATTAAAAGTATAATTTATATGGAAGGTTAGCTCTAGAGTACATCATGGTTAATTCCCTTCAGTCACAGATGGGAGCTCCACATTTCCAATAATGTTCTTATAGCAAAACTTTGTTCTGTGTCTGGACCTTGATGTTGTCAGGTGCAAGTGGACAAACATATTCTCTTTGCAAGTGCTAAGCATTACATATCTTCAGATTGACCTTTTACAGACATTTTACAGACCTTTTACATTCTTACCTCTGACTTCAGATGACCAGGAGATTCGGGTAATTCTCTAACTGTAAAGCGTATGTTTGATTATAAAAACTAACATGCTTTATTGTAGAGATTGAAAACAAGAAAGATATTGGAAAATGGAGTAGAGAGTGATGTAAACTTTTTTCAAAAAAGGAATGTTTAATTACTACTTCAGGCTAATCTGTAGAGTATATAGGACTTCTAAATAGATTAGTGATAATGATCACTAATAAATGTTTAAGAACAGTAGAAATAAGATTATTCTGGTAAAATGGCCCAGAAAAGTCCATCTTTTGCTAAAATCTATTGAATGCAAATATATGGTGCACAGTAAACACACACATACACACACACTTTTCAAGAGAAGGAAATGGCCTAAATGATTATATGTTTGGCCAACAGCCAACAACTGAATCTACTGCATCTTTTCATTGAGTAACATATTTCCATAAGTTATCTGTAATTCTAAAGGACTTGAGTCCTTGTCAGTTCTTCCCCTTAAAACCTCAGTATTTCCCAGAGCTTTAGAAAAATTAGAGAGAAAAACTTCCACCCAGTTACTTTAGGACATGACACATGTGTACCGTGCCTACTATTAGCCAGAAAACAAGATCCATTGTCTGTGAGAACTTCTTGGCATGTTCACAGGCCTGCTGACCACAAAACACAACAAAACAAAACAAAACAACAAAGCCAAACTACTTCACTTCTCAATTTATGAAGCTAAAATTATTTCCAAAGATTTCAAATAAACAGAAATCATTGTAATTATGAATAATTAAAACGTTAAACTCAAGAGGGCACTCAATATTCATTACACTGTAGGGCTGGTCCCCTAAGGCTAAGGCCTTCAATTAGTTCAGTTTTTACAACACAAGACAAATGTGACAATCAGTAATTGCAGGTATTTTATTCAAAGAACAAAACAAGCTGACTTACCTTTCAATAACCCTCTCTCAGCCACTAGAGGTACTGCAGCCTTAGTTCTTAACATTTTTATTCATATCAGAATCTAGGAGGAGGACAGATGACAGGAAAGAATACCACCTTCAAAAGTGTGTACAGGGGCTTTGGCCTTATTGACCATCATTACTGAGTAAAATAGGTAGGCTATAATAGCAATAGATTAAAAAGGAAGCCTTTTAATGTATTAATGCACTTGCTCAGATAATTTATGAACTTAAGTGCATCACTCTTCAGTTGCAATAGAATTTTAAAACTTTAGGGGACGGAATGAAAGTCATGCCTGTGATCCCACCTATTGGACATTTGGAGATAGGATCACAGTTTGAGGTCAACTTGGACAAAAAGTTAGTGAGAATCCATGTATACACAATGGAATTCTATGCCTCCATCAGAAAGAATGACATCGCCCCATTTGTTAGGAAATGGAAAGACTTGGAAAAAATTATATTAAGTGAAGTAAGCCAGGCCCAAAGAAACATAGGTCCCATGGTTTCCCTTATCTGCAATAACTAGTATATGTCAGAGACAAGCAGAAATGGTGAGATAAGTTGATATTAGGCAAAATGAACCCCAAGATAAGGACTCAGGTGGTTTTTCTTTCTTGATATTGTTTCTAACATATTTATAAGGTGATTTTTTTGTTGCTTTGTATATTCCTCCCTCATGATATAACCCCTGTTTTGACTGTATTTGATGTTGGTATAATTTGGGGAGGGGAAGGGAAAAAACAAATTTTTTAAATAGAGATACAGGTGGACCCATTGCAAAAATGAAATGTACAAGATGCTATGTTGAAAAATGAACTTTACAACTTTGGTGGGGGGAGTGTAGTCGTGGAGATGGGAGGGCAGGGATGGTAAGGGAAAAAGAAAGGAGGAGGCAACAATGCTTGATAGGAAATATACTCATTACCTTGCTCATGTAACTGTAACCCCTCTGTATGGTATTTTCACAATAAAAAAGCTTATTAATAAAACAAATACAAACAAGCTGAGCATGGTGACACATACACAAGAGGAACATAGTCAGAGGCAAACACTTGACAAAACCTCAAAATCTTCAAAAAATACTTAAAGGATAAAAGAACTAGGGGTATGAATCAAGTGGTAGAACATTTGTTTAGCAAGTTTGAGTCTACAAAGTTATTTTAATTTTTTCCTCAGACTTTTCCTTGTGGAGTAGAAATGTCTTTTTACAAAATATATCGATTTTGTTTCTTGAACATATATTTTCATTTAGCATACATTAATAGTGGGAGGGCATATCAATTTGGTAATTCCATAGATACACAGCATACTTTGAACAAGTGCATCCCCTCCATTGTATTCCCATAATATCCCCCTTCTTACCTCCTTTCCCAAACAGTGTCCAGGGTTTCATTACATGTCTTTATATATGCTCTGTTTTTTTCATCCTTGTATCCTTTCCTTTATCCCCCTTCCTCCCAAGCTCTCCAGATAGTCTCCTTTTTACATTCTATATCTTATCATAATCCTCATTTTAGGTCTAGATTCCACCAATGAGGAAAGACTGTAACACTTGGCTCTTTGTGCTTGACATATCTCACACAAGATGATTATCTCCACTTTCATCCATTTTCTTGCACGACAACTTGTCATTTATGGGTGAGCATTACTTTGTGTGTGTGTGTGTGTGTGTGTGTGTGTGTGTGTGTATGTGTTATCTTCTTTATACATTCATTGGTTGTTGGGCACTTTGGCTGATTACACAGTGTGGCTGTAGTGACCAGAGCTGAAATAAACTTGGGTTGCAGGTATCTCTCTTTTATATTGGTCTACAATCCTTTGGGTATATGCCCCCATAAGTGGAATGGTGGTGTCATAAGATGGGTATACTTTTAGTTTTTTGAGGAACCTTCATTCTGATATCCATATTTGCATTGGTTTACATTCCCACCAACAGTGAGAAAGGATTTCTTACCCCATGCATCCTCGGCAGCATTTGTTGTTTGTTTTCTTGATGACTGACATTCTAACTAGAGTGACATGGAATCTTAGTGAAGCTTTGATTTGCATTTTCTTTATGGCTAAAGATGATGAATATTATATTAGCCATTTGAAATTATGAATGATGCCTTTCATTTTCCTAATTTGTTCACTTGCTATTTTTTGAGCTTTTTGCATATTCTGGATATTAACCTTTTATCTGTTGACTAGCTGGCAAAGACATTTCATGGATTGTTTCCAGACCCTGTTAATTATTTCCTTTGATATGCAGAATTATTTTTTCCTTCTCCCCTCCCCCCATGGTACTGGGCTTTGAATTCCAGGTCTCATGCTTAGTAGGCTGGATGATATCCTTTTGCCCTGTCTCTAGCTTTGCTTTGTTCTGATTATTGTCTAATGTTTTCCAGATGTTATATAAAGATATTCGATCCATTTGGAGTTGATTTTTGTACACGGTGAGAACTAGGGGTTGAATTTTAGTTATTTTTTTCCTGTGTCTATTCAAAAGTGGTAATGGTACAATTTCTTCTTTGGTATTTCAAGGTTTTTTTTCTTTTTCAGGTAAGGGGTAGTTTTATTTAGTAGACCTGCTGGACCAGGCAAGGTTGGCACTCGACGCAGCTGGCAAAAGAGATGTATTTCAAGTTTTTGAGCTGTTTCCTATGCATTTATAGAACTAAAAATTATGCTGAGTTGGATGCTGACTAGCTAACAGTAAGCATAGTTTGGAGCTGGGCTGGTAGCTTACACCTGTAATACTAGCTACTCAGGAGGCTGAGATCAGAGGATCATGGTTCAAAGGCAACCCATAGTCCATGAGACTCTTATCTCCAATTGAAACATATACAAAGCCAAAAGTGGATTTGTGGGTCAGGTGGTAAACTGCTAGCTCAGGGACAGTGACCTGAGTTCAAGTCCCAGAACTGGCATCCTCTAAAAGAAATGTAGTTTGGCTCTAGAAGGCTTAAGTAAAAGGACTTCTTTGATTCAATACAAAGTTGACAGTCCTGACCTGAGAAAGGATTATCTTCTGCTAGCTACCAGGCCAACACAGGGAGAGATAATTAGTCTTTCATTTAGGTAGAGGAAAGAACTCATTAGAAATGTAGTACAAGTGGCTTCACAATGATAAATCTCAAGTTCCCAATTCCACTTTTAATAATTAGTGTGCTGAGCCTTGTGCTTAATTAAAATGGTTATTTTAAATGCTTATATTTAACTTAAACCTAATTAGCTGAAGTTCAATGTTACTGCCTCATCCATTTTTGAAATTAATTAATTTATAAAATAGCTCAAAAGTGCTGAAAATTTTAATATTAAAACATTATCAGGAGCAATTTGCATCCTTCATTGGCTTCAGTTGTGTATTCCCCAGGGAGAGGTTCACCCTGGGTGCAACCGGGGCTCTCCCATGGCTAGTATAGGATGAGGTCAGAGGCTGACATGGTCTTGATAGTTCTAGGATATGTCCTGTAGCCTTCCATGCAATAATAGTCTATAGCTAAGGCTATATTTAAATTTCAAAGGGATCTAAAGGATCTAAGCTAT